ACTTGTGTGTATTCATGGTGTGGTTTCTGTCAATCACCTGCCAGATGTGCTCACTTTAATCAGGACTCTAAATCAAACCACTGAATCGACAAGCATCATGCAAAATGACTTCTCTTTCTGGGATTATATTTTCTTTCCTGATGACCATGGGTAGCTTGCTTTGTTCAGAGACTATCTGATGCATCCCAGACACACACAGACCCCAAATTGTAGACATGCAGTGTTCTAGAAAGTCGTCTGCATGTAAATCAACATACATCTCCCCTAAAGACAACTGTATAAATGGTAACGAGGTTTTCACATATGCTTCTATTTTATAGTACAGGTAGACCACAGAACAGAGAAAATGCCTACTATTGGGAGCATGATTTCAACATGAAAATTCACCATTTTTCAGAGGAAATTCAGATTTTTTTTAAAAGGAGGTCCTTTAAGCTGGCCACAGTAGCACATTCTCTTAATTCTAGCTACTTGGGAAGCTTAGGCAGGAGGACTGCAAGTTCAAGGTCAGCCTGAGAAACTTCGTGAGACTTTATCTTAAAATAAAAAATAAAAAGGTCTAAAATATACTCAGTGGTAGAATTCTCCTGGGTTCAACCTCTAATATAGTAAAAAGAAAACAAAAATAATTAAAAAATCAGTTTCTGCAATTAAATATATAAATATATCAACTGATAATGATGATTATAAGGACCCATATGTATGTATGTTTTGGGAACTTTTCTACTGACTAACTTAATCTTTAAAACAGTTCTACCAAGTAAATGTTGCTATCATTCCCATACAATTAAGAACATTAAATAAGGCACAGAAAGGATACGCATGATAACTGGTAAGCTAGGATTTTATTCCAGGGTCCATGGCTGAACCAGAAGTTGGCAAACTATAGCCCTATGGCAAACCTGGTCGCACGTGTTTTTGTCAATAAAGCTTTATTATAACACTGTGGATGCCACAGTGGCAGACTATCACAGCAGACACCACATGCTCTGCAAAGCCCAAAACATGTACTGTCTGATCCTTGCTAAGCCAGAGCTAACCCATCCTCTGCACTGTCTCCAAGGAAAATCAGACCCGTCCCAATTCTTGCCACAAGACTCACTGGCCAGAGACCCACATTCAGAGGAAATTCAGGAATCCTGGTGGTGCTTAACAATGACAGAAGCAACGGTAGGTGACTAAAGTTACTCTTGCACAAGGTGTTATGTTTCTTTCTCAATAAGCTCCCTGTTTCAAACGCCCACCCCAGCCCATGAGACCCAGGGCCCACAGGTAAAAAACAAGCACTATAGGCAGAAGGGACTGTTTTTGCTCACTACTTGGAACCTTATTTGCAGAACAAATGAAAGGATATGGAATTTATGTTTATAACTCAGGGACATATATACTTCATTTGAAGACAAACATGGAACAAACTAAAGGCGTATAGACTCGCTGTCCATGAATATCATGATCGAGGCTTTGGGTGGAGCTGTGTTTCAGGCAGATGAACTGCTCTAGCAGGGCCTACATTAGACAGCAGGGCTCTTTCAACCATCCTGAAGCTTCACTCGTGGATCATCTCTTTTGCCAAGATTCTAGAATCCACAATTTAAATTTAAAATATTTTTCATCTAATTATCAGATGAATGCTAATGCAGCAGGCAGAGTTGTAAATGCTCATTTATTTTGATTTTTCCTTTCATCAGACTGAATGACTTTTGATTTCTGGGGAAGGCTGTGAAAGCCGCAGCTGTAGGAAGAATTACTCGGTAGACTAGATGCTCAGTGAGGCCACTGAAACGTACATGTTTCTGAAAGGAATACCCATAGTGTTGTGTTTCATCCAGTAATGATGAAACTTCCACATCAGACTGAAACTGTTCCTGGGGGCTGGGAAGTGGGACAGTGCTGGTAGGGGGAAAAAGGGATTGACGTGAGGGAAAGCAGTCAGAATGGCAACAACGCTGAAAGAGTGGAACAGAGAGGGAAGCCTGAGACACCAGGAAGCCACTGTGCTGTGTCTGAGATGCAAGGGAAAGAAACAGGACAGGGGCTAAAGGAAGTTCCCCATCTTGTACTCTGACGACAACTGTCACCCCGTTTGGAAAGGCTGGCTGCCCCCTGAACAGCTCAAATGAAGACTCCTGCCTTTTTGCCCTGGTACATGGCCACTAAGGAGGGTTCCCAGATTTCACATTTGTAGCCATCAACAAAATACCATTATGGGATGGAATGCTTGCCTAAAACCAGGTTGGAATATTCCATTTAAACTGCAGCATGGCAGTGGTCATGAAATTCTAAGCATCTTTCTGCTGCCATCATCCAGTGGCTTTGTGCTAATCACTTGCAGTTGTATTTTTACAGTGGTCCGAGTAAATGAGCTAATCCACTTGGAGTGGAATCTAGGAAATACAAGGTAGAAGACAGGCAGAGAGAAATATGGGATATAGTTCTGCAGGGGGACCAGGAAGAGACCCCAGGGGGCTGAGCAACAGGGGCACAGCCCCTACCACTCTGCTGACCTCACCACTTCCTTCAGAGGCCGCACAGCCCCGGGATAGTACTTGGCTGCTCTCCCAAGTCCAGCTGTCCCAGGAGAGAGACGGCAACCAGTGACACACACGGCCTCTTAACTTCCTCTACAGAGAAATACCTCACTTTTGGCCTCAAGACCTCTGGCTGGTAGTTTATATTTTTATTTTTTAGCCTCAACTCTGACCTTTACAAAAAGCTGGATTCACTGCCCAGAAAAACAGGAAGGTTACTCACCATGAAGCCATGGAAATAAAGCATCAAATGTGGGTTGATATCTCTATCAGCAAAGCGAGGTCTCAGACATCACTATAAGTGGTGCAGGATGCCCAGTGCTGTGCCTCCCTTCATTGTACGCTGCCCCCAGTTCTGACCAGTGGCTGATCATGACCCATCCAAGGGCACAGAAATTCAATAAAACTCTCCTCAGTGACTCAGTTCTGCCCCGCCTGAGGCAGCTGAGGAATGCTAGCACTGTGTCTCCCCACCAGGACGTACCCACAGCGTGTGATGTGACACTGGGAGGGGTGTCAAGGACACCTTCCATCCAGAAGTCCAGTTCTTTGTCTTCAGCTGGGGACTGAGGGCACCACAGTTAATGAAGCAGGTGAATTGTAAAGGAGAAAGGGGGTGGGGTGAGGGAGGGAGGGGGAGAGGG